AAGATGTTGTTTAGTTGAATATTCTGAAATTATTGAACATAGATAAGAAAGTGTAGCACAACATAAAGTTTTTAACAGAAATACAATTGCAAAATTACTTAAATGTTGTCATTTTTTATGCCATGGGTAAGCAAGTTAGAATAATAAAATTAAAGATTACATAAAATGCGTTATTTCACTGGAATAGAATTAAAGTGTATGGAAGATGTATTTAGAAAATATAGCTGGAAATCTCAATATTGTGTCTAAAAATGTTAAGACAATTTTCAGAAACAATATGAATTTAGCAAATAAGTTGTGTTTTTTTTTTTAATTTTCTTAAATAAAAATAAAGGGTTACTATTTTTCTGAACAAGGATGACAAAATAAATTTCAAAATTTTTAATGTGTAAATTATATAAAAATGAAGAGAATTATTTGAAACCAAAGCAACTGTGTTAATGACTTATTTCTATTTAGTAATTTATTATGTAGTAATTAAAAATCATGTGTGGGTATTTCTATTTCCTATTTATTTTTTATAATCATTGTTAATTATCTTTTATGTAAAATTTATTTTAATTTATTAATTTGTTCCCACTATTTGTTTTATAAATGAATGTAATAGAACCAGAGGTTATATCTTGGGTTTTATTCAACAAGGCAATACACATGACACCAATCAATGTTGCCTTCCAGTAAGAAAGATAACCAACTGATTCACATAAGAAAGTAATAAAGTCTTGTCAGCCATGATGCTAGTAATCCCATGTAGGAAGTGTCATTACAGTGGGGAAGAGGGTAGAACAAATAAATAAAAAAATTACCACATTCTCTCTTGATAAATAAAATTATAAGCCTAAAATTTTTTAAAAAAATCCCAACTTAGTATCTGCAAAAGAATATGGCAAGTACAGGAATACATTACTAAAATCATAAATGTAGATGCTTAGTTTGTTTTTTGTACACACTCAGGGCTATGAGTATCCCTTGTATGAAGAATCAATGATTTGCCTACTCTTGTGGGAAAATCAATAGATTCAACTGCAGATTTGATTGGAATCTTCATCATGACTGATATTCTTAGCAGATATTGTTAAGAATTTGAACTGGCTATTTTATAAATGGCCTGCAGGGCCATTTATAAATCTTGTAGTGACTTATTGCTTCATTCTTTTTATGAAGAGAAATAGGAGTATAAAGATGGCTTGCTCCAAGGAGTTCTGCTTCTTCAACAATTGCATCGTAACTTGTCTGAAAAGGACAGCTACAAATGATACCAACCACATCTACTAGTTGATCAGTGGTGCAAATGTAATAATCCTTCATGTGAAGTAGCAGAGTACATTTTGAATGCAATGTGTCTTGTCAGACAAGCTCCCAATCAATTATAGGCAAGCATTGTGATTTGAATGCAAGAGTTACTGTCTGCCATATAATTCCATTATGTCATTGCCTTGAGGATTATAAGAAGTAGTCCAATTTGTGGAAATACTACAACTGTGCAAAACTATTCTCCTATTCAATGCCGTAAATGAAGTATCTTCATTTAAATGGCTGAATGCAGCCATGTCAAAAATTCTAAATAACTGGCTGAAGCAGAGGATCACTGCTTGAAATATCAAATCTGGGCAAAGAAAAGTTAAAGGAAAATGGATACTAACTAACAAGTTAGTTCAATCATCCATCTCTGAATTTGATTATTTTTAGTTTGACTGGTCAGTTTAGAACCAGATGTCAATACCATGGATTTCTGATCAGTAAGAAGTGTAAAGTGGTTTTCAGTTGGCTAGTGTGGCCTCCACCATCCTTAGGTTACCTTTCCTATTGCAGTGTGTTTTTAATGGGCTTGAAAAGAAAACCTCTTGTCTACCAGCTTGATTTATAGTGATATCAATAGTGTGACCAGAGCATTTGTCTCTACAACAAAGGGAATTGTTACTCAATAGAATGCATCACAGCAGTTTTTATCTCAGTTTTCTAGTGTTTCAATGCCTTTTCAGCCATTTTGGGCTGATCACATAATTTGTATAAGCATAATCCTATTTGGCCTAATTGGCAAACCAATGCAAACAGAGTATTGAGTACGTACCAAAAGCACAGCAAGTTCTTTTATGAGTCAAAGCCTTTCAGGATGATGTTTAATTTACTTTTCCTATAAACACTTGTGCTGCCCAAGTAAGTAAATATAACAAAGATAGTTGATAAGAATGAATTTATTTATTATACACTGAAAGAAAACAGCTTGATTGGTTATTCCAAATGGAATCCAATGGAATTAATATAACTGATCACTGTGTAAAGAATTTTCCTCCCCTTATGGGTTAAATAGGACAGATTTACACAGCCAATCTAGAAGGTAATCTGAATTCAAATGTGAGGAGGGTTGTTTGGAAATTTCTGTTCGATCTTCCAAAAAGTGTGGCTGGCTCTATATAAAACTTCATCACTATCATCAAATCATCTGTCTGAGTAATCTTGTGGTTCAGATCTAAAAGTAAACTTTTGAATCCTCCTGCATTAAAATTAACAATATTGTTCAGTGTGTGTGTGTGTGTAGCAATTATGATAAATCATGTTTTTTTTCTAATTCTTAAATTTTACATAGGCTACTTTAAAATAATTTTGCTGTCATCTAAAATAAATTGATAGCTTTAAATGTGGAATTATCTCAAGTCTTTATAGCTCTCAAAGCCTGAAAAGTTGATAAATTTTTTGTTTTTAATATAATCTTATATGTCATCACTTTGGTTTTGAATTACATTTTATTAATTCCTGTGCTACTGCCTTGATTTGTAAAAATCCATCATTTAAAATAAGTATTCAACCTGTAATTAAAAAGATACTTTTTGCACCTTTCTCACCTGTTTCTTCAAATATTGTTCAAGAAATAATTTGTCATTAACTATTTCAGTTGTAAGAAATAAATTTTAACAGTTATCCATAAAGGATAGGCATAATTTCTCATAGATAAAACTTCAATTTGTATAAAAAGGGAATTTCCTGGTTTTCATCATTTTTTACAGTAAAATCTCATTATTTTACCTTTTAATTTTTTCTTTTATAGGAATTGAAAATTATATGCAATTGCAAAATTAAAAATGCTAAATTTGGTTGATAATATCATTCATTTTTAAAATCTCAGATAATTTACAAACTTCTTGATTCAATATTTAAATAGATTTAATTAAATGAACAAAAACTGGATACAGCTTTCAGACAAGGGGATTATTTTGTCTTTAACTGCTTACATTTGTAAATGCGCAAAAAGAGGGCAAAATGTGTTTATTTGATACTTTATAATATATTAAATATAAAACTATTCCCAGATTAGAACGTCCTACCCTATCACAACACATCCAACATTATTTCACTCTCTGCTATCTTCTAATCTGTTGCAGCCAAAACTAATTTGAGGAGGAATAACTTAAAAGAAATAATATCACTATTCTGTAACAATAATTAATAGTATTGTTTGCTTATTTTGAAGAAGTTCTGTTGGTATCTGAATTTAAAGCCTTTCATCATTCTGTTTTAGCTGAGTTGTTAAAAGGTCAGCTCCCCTTTGCAAAACATCATAAATACAATTTACTCAATAATGCATTTATAATCAGCCTTGGGTTTTATTGGCTGACAAACAAACAAATTATATCCTTTCCTAAGAACAATAAAATCTATCCTCACTCTCTCTCTCTCTCACACACACACACACACACACACACACTCTTGGTTAGTGTTTGCATTGGCTTAGAACAAAAATACAATATTCCACATCAGATATTGTCTCTGTTTGTGTAAATGGTTTTTACTCTCTCTCTTCATATGTCCATCACTAAAATGATGCCTGTTGTTGTTTTTTTTTGTTTGTTTTAAGTAAACAATTTGATAACCCTTTTGAGTTATGCAAATATTAAAATATTCCACTATTTACTTTGTTAAATCATAAGTTGTTGGGAAATGAACAAGAAAAAAAAAATAAGCTGACATTATATTTACCTTAAGTAAAAATTGATATTTGATGATCTTAGATTTGTTTTGAGCAAGTGTCAACTGAACTAAAGAAGAAAGTTAATTTTTCAGTTGATCTTTCCTTTAATATCTTATGACCTTTTAGCTCTTTAAATTGGTCAACCTCACCTTATTTTCTCTATTTTTCACTTTTTCTCTCTCTCTATCTCTTTTTTCCAATTGATGCATCTTTTAGTATTTCTCCTTCTGTCTTGTTCTTTTTTCCATCCAACACTAAAGAAGCTTGTGTTTACCTGTAACAGAAGAAAGGATAACTCAAGAATAATATTATACATAGTTATGATTGTAATCTCTTGGTTTTTAAAAAATCTTCTCTTGGACATGAATGAAAAAGAAAATGTTATATTGTAAATTAATGTGTTGGGATTCACTCCCTAGCCAAGCTTCTACTGATATTTACTTGAATCTATGTATAGAGAGACACACACCCCATTAAATAACTATTAAACTCATTAATGAAGTAAGTAATTAGTAAGTTTTTTGCTAGCATTCCAGATAGAATCCTGAAGTTTATGATTTTCAGCCAAACATTTCAACTGAAATCCACAGAGTCTGAAATCTATATAATAATAAACTGAGTGATCAGCTATGAAAAAAAGGTAAAGTTTAAGGATTCATTTTTAGTTCTTTTGCCATATTATGCAAAATAGTTTATGGAGAACTTGCTCAAGATGTATGCAAATGCATAGTGTTGAGACAGTGTACAATCAAAAAATTATCACTTTTTTTATTTAAAAAAAATTTTTTTTATTTTTTTCAAATGTTTATTTAAATTATTTTGGCCTATGATATATTTTAATTTAGTTTATTTAAAAAACTTTTGTTTTTACTTGTTTGCTTTTGTTTATTTCTTTGTCCTTTGAAACATGGGATCATATTGTCATTCATATTTGTAATGTGTGAGTGCATGACAGTATTTTGTTACTTGTCTATTCTTTCCTGTGACTTTACATATTTCAATTATATTTTACATATTATTTCTGATATTGTAGGTTCCTTAAATAACGGTGACATCAGAGATTCCTCCTCCTGCTTCTTGATGGATCGAAAATATTCTGAACCAATCCTTAGTCAAAATGAAGGCATTGAAGAGAATGCAATTATACGTTCTAATGAGATAGAAAATATTCCAGAACACATACGAGAGACGCCTGAGCCAACCTCACCCCATAAACACAGGTAAAGGCAGTTAAACTGATTCGGCTTTTATTATTTATTGGTATCAATTTTACATTAAATAAAAGTTAACTTAGTCATTTCTCAATTTAAGTTGAATATTCTATTTGCAGAAAATATGTTTGATACTTTTATATTGATTTTATGCTCAATTTATTAAATTAAATTGAATGTGATAATTGAAAATATCACAAAGTGGAAATGAACTTAATGATTTACTTACTTTTGAGTGTCTTTTCATACTTATTCTTTTTGGTTGATAGTTTAAACCAAATTTGCAAATGCACTCAATTCTCTGTTAGTGTAAGAATAAATGAAACCATTTTATCAAAGTTTTGTAACATTTTTATGCTTTACACAATTTGTAAAAAAAAAAAAAATTAAATGCCTAAATTTTTTATTAAGAGAAAAATGATTCCTTTTGATCATTCTGTTATGTTATCAAAAAACTTAGTTTTCTTTGACTATATGATTGAGCGTTATATTGTCTCCTGTTTGAATTTAAGACCAAATACAAGCCCTGAAAAGATTTTTTAAAAATAATTATTTATTAAAAAAGGTAAATAAAGTTATCAAGACTTCATGGATGAATATTTTTTCCTCAAACTATTTAGTATCACTTTGGTATGAAAATGAATTGAAAGATAAATTCATCTGAATTAATTTTTTTGATAGTTTAATGTATTGTTTGCATTTGTTTATCTTGATAAAGTACACAATTTTTCTTTCATATATTTTGGCTGTTCAAAGTAGAATTATCAATTTTGTTTTTGTTTTTTTCCTTCACTCTCTCAAAAACATGGTCAATTTACAAAGCACACACTTCAGAAATTTTTTTATTTTCCAGTTTGTTTTTCTAAAACCAGATAGTGTAGACTACTGAAAGTAATGATTGTGTAGTTCATCTTACCATTGGCAGTCAATGCACATAATAATAGACTATAGCTTACTATTTGCCTTAGTAGTTGCTTGATAAACTAACAAGAAACATCTGTAAGAAAACAGTAAGTGTGCATGGTTTCATTTCTCCCACCTTTTTGACAGGACATCAGCTGTAGATATTATAACTCTTTCCCAACTCTTTCCATTCCCCACCCCCACGATTCATCCTCATCTATGTATGTGCACACATCAAAGATGATTAGGGGTCATCCAGAAGCGATGAGCCATTGTAAATGGACGAAAATGACAAAGCACAAATGCACTCTGACCCACATGAAAAGACTACAAGGAAAGATGTGTTCCCTGATTCTTTTTTTCCAGACTGGAAATTGTGGATGAAGAAACATCTTCCAAGTCTACTGAGCTAAAACGTCGAAAGGAACCAGAAAGAAAATATGCAGTTACAATGTGTGAAGAAGATGTGAAGAAAATGTTTTCAAATGCAATTTTCAGAACTTTTCATCGAAAAACATTTGATGGATAATGAAATTTGAAGCAGGAAATCATATTTTGTTTTTCATTCATTTTCCTCTGACCTATGACCCTCATAAATGATCTCCCTATAGATTAGAAACAAAAAAACTGATAATATCTAAAAATAAAAGCAACTTGTGCGAATATCTGGTTCTTCAGCATTTGCCTGTATTCAATCATGACAACACATTTAAAAGGTTTGCCCTCTTTTCATACAGAGTTTTCAGTATAGCTTAAATTTAAGACCATTTGTGTTGTATAATCTTAAAGGGGTCGGGGAACAAATGAAGGCGAATTTTCCAGAAAAAATTAAGAAAAAGCAATTTAATTTTTTATACATTTCTCAACTTTGTTGAAATATCTTTTGCTTTTATTCCAGAGAGAACTTATTTTAGTTATGGCTTTAGCATCTTGGAGCCTGCAATTTCATTCAACTTTTAAAAAATGGGTTCTTTTGGGGTTTATTGCATATATTTCCAATAAAACTCTGCTCAATCCTGACATTGGCTTTTTCTTGGTAGATTTACTATAGAATAATTCAACAGGAACACTTGACCTCTCTTTTATAAGAATAACTTGTTGATAGTTACTTAGTGTAAATTACTATTGACCTTAAATTTTAAATGTCATGTGTTAATTCTAAACACACCTGTAACTCCATCCCATAATTGTAGTGTGTGTATGTGTGCACACACTTACAACACTTTGGGTTTGCCGAACTTTTTCAATTAGAAAAATCATCAATTTTGCCATATTAAATGGTGAAGTCTTAAATGATTTAAAGCTTTTCCTTACAAAAACCTGATTTCCATGAAGATGTGCAAACTTTTTATCTCTATTGTTAAGATATTCTCTCTCATATATATATATATATATATATATATATATATATATATATATAGATAGATACACACACACACACACACCTTGTGACTTTGATGATGGACATTTGCAACAGCCAAAAAATTATCAAGAATTTTGAAGTTCCATCCTAACTGCTGGCCAATACAACAGTCATAATTTGAACTGAACAAATCAAGTTGCACTGTGCAGAATATTTCAGGTTACTTTTTTTAAACAAATTAGAAATTAATTTTTTTTTTCCTTTTTGACAGCATAAATAATTCCTATCATTGAAAACAAATGAAAAAATGCAAATGCAAAATGTTAAGACAAACTTTAATAAGAAGAATGGAACACAATTTGGTGATTATTAAATATTTCATTTCAGTTATGCAGTAAAGTCACAGGACACTATTTTGTCTGAAAATTGACTGATAAAATTTCTAGAATTTTCCGTTCTTTCAGTTTCTTCATATTTTTATCTCATTGTTAAAGGATTATTCGTGCAAATAAAAACTTTTTAAGCATTTTGTGAGATGCTCAAAATAATCCAATTTTTTTTTGCATATAATTGTATCACAATTTTAAAAATAGTCATGTCTACCTAATGTACTTTTTTCATTTTTGTTTGTCATCTACAAATATTTAAGGTAATTTAATAAGGATCATATGTGGCAGATAAAATTATCATCAGTTAGATTTCATATAATTTTTTTATATATTCTCTATAAATATTTGATATCGTAAATAATTATTGATGATTACTTCCATTTGTAATTATGGAACAAGAACAATATATATATATATATATATATATATATATATATATATATATATAAATATAAGATTAGGAAAAATCCATGCACAACATACTACCTGGGTTTTGACCTTATGGTCTCATCATGGCAGTTACTTGTGGATGGTTAATCTATAACACTATTCATGCCTGCTTAAATTAAGAAAGCACCACAAATCAGATATATTAGAAAGTAAGGGGCAATGAGAGAGTTGGTGGAACTGGGGGAAAAAAAGTTGTTCATCTGGGCTCATACTGGCTCAGAGTATATTTATTGGTACCCAAGCATTGGCCTGACTCTACTTTTGCCTACTATTTTTCTTTTTAGTATTTTATACTTATATATATCATTACTATAACCAAACAATAAGCTTGAGAATAGAGTAGAGAATTTAATTTCCCAAATCAAGTTTTGTATAACCTACACATCATCCACTTATACTATATACTGTTGTTGCAAGAGGGTCACCAGGGAGGATCAAATTACATTCTATAGTGTTCTGTGATGAAAGCAGGTTCTGCCTTCATGTAAGTGATAGTCTTTTGTGTGTGACACCTCGACCTAGCTAAGGAATGACCAATTTTAGAGTCTATTCACCCACAGCACACAAGTCCAATTCTTAACATCATGGTATGGGCAGACATAAGCTAGAACTCTTGCTCATCTTTGGTTTTTGAGGGCATAATATTGAACAGTACTATGTATGTCTAAAATATTATTCAACCCATTCTGCTACCATTGCTGAAACAAGAAGGCAATGTGTTGTTTCAGCAGAATAATTCCTACCCACATCATACCCATGCTACTTAACATGCTCTGTAAGATATTCAACAATTTCATGGCTGGCACAATCACCCGGCCTAACCACCTCCCCACTGGCCAAATATATATGGGACAATGGCTGGTTCATTTGGTTAGCCCACCTACAACAACTGCAAGAGGTACAGACTAAAAATATTGTAGAATAGTATTTGCCATCTGTATTATTGCTGAATAAAGATGGATGTGAAGTGTATTAATATGGGTGTCTTGAATACTATTGATACATCCCTTATAGTTTAACCTGCATTCGTATTAATTTGTATATATGATCATGTTATCCAGCTATATTAGCTGGATGATTAATTCTGAGAAAATTTAAACACACATTTATGGTGTTGCATATGCTTAGAAGGGATGCTGAAAAGTTCTCTATCTGGCCTGCTTTTATTCTTGGGAACTTGTCTTATTATGATAGTACCTTACCAATTAGGCTCCACAAAAACACACAGCATATGTCATTTAAATTTAGAATACCAACCTGAGCATTGGGATGGCAAATAACAAAGGCTGATAAAAAATAATTTAATAACGATAATGTTTCATTTAAGAAATTCATAGACATGAAGAATTTAGCTTTTTATCCCTGTGATGGTAAGTTGAAGATTAAAGGAATTGGTTGCAACAGAGAAGAAAAGAATAAAAGAAGAGATTGAAGCTGGAATCAAATATTGTGATATTTGGAAGGTAATCAAATGCAGAAGACATAGCAAGAATTAAATTTCTATTGTCAGAGAAAATTGCACATGAAGAAAACATTTCTATGGCATTTGAGTGATGATGCTGCCTTTTTCATTTTTTTAATGTTTTGTCATTGCAAGAAGAAGAAACCAAAGGTCTCCAGTTTTATTGGCCTTGTCAGATTTTATTGCTTATTCAATGTCCATCATTTTTCTTTTATATAAGTAGATACAAATATCCAAAACAGTAATTTCTTGTTGGTTACAGAAAATTTTTAATAATTGATAAAAATGATTCTTGAATTATTTAAAAGTTAAATCAGAGGTGTATGTACACTGATTTTAGTCGTTGGGCCTATAGTGAGTAATCCTCATTTTTTATTCACTCAAAACAAATTGTAAACTGATTATATTCAAATAAAAACATTTATACAAATATGCATTTTGTTTTGTTCATTATAGGGAATAATGATGGTTATATTTTATTTACACTTTACAAATATTATTCAGAGATAAACGTGTGGAACCAATAAGAATTTAGTAATTGCATCAATCTATTTCTCATCATTTTTTTCTAATCATTTTTTAATCTTATAAAATAATTGTATTTTTAAAAAGAAAAAGGCTCCAAAAAAAATTTTTTTTTTTTTATACTTGGTTTAAAGTTTAAATTAAGATGTATTTTGTTAGTTATATAAATGAAGTTGTTAATTGCATTAAAATTTGTGTAAAGAAAACTTTTTTTTTTTAAATTTCTTATTTTTTTGTCCTTCTCTTTCAGCCTTACTCGAAGTCAAAGCGTGAATCCCGAGAATCAATATCACTATGATTCTACTCTTCCTCTTCCACCCCCACCCCCACCCCCAGAGGATGGAATTGATGGCGCCGTTCCTTTGTCACCTCCCCAACAGGTGAAATCAGTATTAGCTGGTGACAATGAAACATTAGCATCAAGTAATGTTAGTACTCTTCGCTCTCTGGATGGTGAGGAGGAAACGAAGAAAAAAAGGGTTAGTAAGCGGGTTAGTGTTGCTTCTGATTTTTCTATTTCAATGTTGTCTGTACATATTAAATCCTTTGCACCCTTGACAAGAAGTTGCTAGTCTCTTGAGTTTGAACTCTTCTAACACTCAACAGAAATAGCCTATTTGAAATCTTGTATTCATACAGGAATTGAAAAGTTCTTGGCCTGAACTAATTCTCTTGTAATTATTTAACAAATTAAGAGTTTTTGTGACTTGCATGAAAAATTAAATTTTAATAAATTAGAAATTAAATACTTAAATGAAATATTAAAATTGAAAAGCTTAAATTAAGTATTCAATATATAAAAGAGAATAAATAACCTTTAATTAATTTAATTTTTTTTTTTTAATTTTATTGAAAGTAGTTTTTGCAAAATTGTTTGATAATTTTAACTACATTTCTGATTTGGAATTTTTGGATTTCCTAAACATAAACAAATTTTATATTGTGATGCCATCTGATTAAATATGAGAAACTTTTTCCTAAAAAATGGTTTGACACAATGAAATGAAATTAAAAATTTCCTCAAATGCAATGTAGATATTTCAACAAAGTGAATATTTCATTCATTTTAAACTAACCTATTTGCTCTTGTGAAAATTTGTCTGCTTCCTTTTGTTCACAATGCTTTCTGAAAATAATGTTCAAACTTGAGAGGGGATGCATGTGTACACACACACACAAACACACATCTTGAAAAGTGGTGCTTTGGATTCTGTAGAAGTAGCTGTTTATAACATAACCCAAATTCCTTCCACTCATTAAAATAGTTTTATATATATATATATATATATATATATATAAAGGCTTTTTTATATTTAAGAGCTTATTGTTGTTATTAATTATAATTATCTGCTACATTAGAAATATCATTATTAATTTAATTTTCAGTTTTCAGATGATGAAATCATACTATGATTATATTATTTTTATCAGTTCTAAATTGGTTATTAATTTTGTCTAATAAAATCAAATTTCTAATTAGTTTGTAATAAGTGATGTTTATTCTGTATACATTTTTTTATATATAATTATAAAACAAAAATTAACTATTAATTTGTAATAATTTTAAAATGTAAATTACAAAGTTATTGACTCCTTTTAATGATCATCTGAAAATCTTATGAAAAAACTTTCATCATCAGGAGCTAAACCTTTACACATTTATAATGTTATTGTTTCTTTGATTTTATTATGACCTTCTAAAAAGCACAAATTAAATTTGACTGTCTCACTGGAGAAGTAGATGATAGATATGTTTTAATGTCAGTTATTAATGTTTTTACTTCATTCATATTTGATAGAATATAACCAGAATTATTTTTTCACACTAGTAAGTTACAATATTTTAGAAAATCTGTAAAAAAATTTATTCTTTTTTCCACACAGTTAAGTTTCTGAAAATCAAAATTCCCATAGATTGCTTCAATCTTTAGAAAATATATGTATATTTTAAATAAAGTAAAATTTCAAAAGTTTTTTCTTTTCTGGTTATTACTTGAAGAAATTTACTTTTTTACTGTCTGAAAATTCTCTCTTGACTGATTATCTTGGAAAATGTTCCTACTTTTCTAATCGTTAATCACTTAATGGCTTTATGAACAATAATTTCTTATTTTTCTGTTCAGCCCATATCATCTTCAAGTTAATTACACAAGCAAAGATCAGATTCTGAGCAAATAGTGTAACCAATAGCAAATGTGTTCTATGTTCCTGTGTTTCTCTGTTGCAGCGTGCTCCAACTGACAAATCCTACTGCATCACTAAAGAACTCTTGATGACTGAAAGAACATTTAAGAAGGATTTAGAAGTTGTTACACAGGTGAGAAGACATGAGAAAGGTTTCAATTGATAATACAGCAAAGATCTTCTTTTTTTTCTAATTTTTAGGATTTTAAGGTCCAAAAGAAAACGCTTTTTCAGAAGATAACATTGTACAAAAATATTTTATAAATTTTGATAATGTGTCAGCTTTTTTTTTCTAACATTATGAAAAATCAGAATTAAAATTATTAAAAAGGCATTTATCTCTGAGAAGTTGTACTCAGTATAACTTTTTTTTGTTTTGTTGCAGTCTTTAAGATTTTACACAAACACATGTCCATAATTGTATTTGCAACTGAATATGATTTACTTCTTATATAGGCTTTCAAAAATACACTGGTTTCTGCAGCAGTTCCAGAATGCCTTTCACATCTCTTGTTCTCCTCTTTGGGTCCCATCTATGATTTCCATTGTACTTTTCTGAGAAATATTGAACAAAGAATTGTTTCTTGGTAAGTATTTTCATATAATTTAATTTCCTTATAGTTATTTTCTACCTGCTTTCACTTTCTGTTTAATTTCATTAGAAGCATTCAATACACATGAGAAAATAAGAATATGTCAATGAAGTTTTATTTCCATCATACTCTGATGTCCTCAGAAGTCTAATTCTCTATTTATCTAAGAAGAAGAAGAACTGGTCAATAGGTCATTTTGGTTTTAGGCTCACCTTATATAGTAGGCTTTGTTATTAAGAAGAGATTTTTTAAATAATTGAAAATTATCAAATTCATGGTTTAACCAAAAATTACAGATCAGATCATTTGAAATGTCTGATAAAATTGGTTTAGCTGAATAAATTGACTTTGAGTATTTAGTTTCTGTTCCAAAAAAAAAAAAAAATTATCATTATTATTGTTTTTAATTGTTCTTCTTACAGGGAAGGAAAGAGTAATGCCCATGTAGTACCCGATTCCCAGAGGATAGGAGACGTCTTGTTGGGACTTAACAAGATATTACCAGTGAGCTTTACTTTTTAACCCAAATTTTCCTCTCTTTTTTTTTTTTTTTTTTTTTCCCTATCCTTCAATTGGTTTTAGAAAATCTTTTCTGAATGTAATGCTTTCCTTGTAATTCTAATTAGCTTCCTTAGATAGAAAGTATTTTTTATTTCATTTCATTCTTTGGGTTTCTTGTGTTTGTGTGTGTGTGTGTGTATATATATATATATATATATATATATATATATATATATAATCTTCTATCCTGACAGAATCTGATATATATATGATAGAAATATAGTTTTACAGTTAAAGTGCACACTATCAGGGATAGTGTATGTATATATGAGACCTGAAAATTGCATTTAAGCATAAAACAAACTGTTCCTACTGGGTGTTTCCCTGTGTGTGTATATATATATATATATATATATATATATATATATATATATATATATATATATATGTGTGTGTGTGTGTGTGCATATATCTTGCAGCATGTCTTTATTGAGACATTTCATTGAATAATTTAGGCATGTTCTGTCTACTTATTTTCAATTGGATTCTTTCATATTCACAGATATGCTTTTTGGTGTCGTTATTGAAGGACAAGAGAAAATTGCCGAGTTGATACATATTTCTTTTATTCCAAGTACTTTCAACATAGCACAATGTCATCATCAGGGTATTGTTTATTGCAAGACAAATATTGTATGTTTATGTGTTCTTTTTTTTTACTATTTATTTCGTAAAAATCTCTCCGTTACCATATTTAGTTATCTCCCTTGAAATGGTCTCAGTGATCATGCACTGACTCAGCATCCTTCACTCCACAAGTAAGAAATTTAACTTTCACATGAACACAACGATTTTGTCTTCAGCAATAATGAACAGTACAGTATTTGTATTGCAATAAACAATACCCCAATGATGACATTGTGTTATGTCGAAAGTACTCAGAATAAAAGAAATATGGTGATTTTCTCTTGTCCTTCAATAACAACACCAAAAAGCTTATCTGTGAATATGAAAGAATCCAATTGAAAATAAGTAGACAGAATATGTCTGAATTATTCAACAAAACATCTCTCTCTTTCGCTCGCACACACTCTCTCTCTCTCTATATATATATATATATATATATATATATAAAAATAAACTATCCAAATAAATATTGCTTCTTTGTAAAGTAATGTTAATGTACAAAAACTTCTTAAAATTGTTTTTGCTTGTCTAAAATTATATTTCTCTTGAGTGTTTTTTTATTTTTTTTGTTTTCTTTGTTTCCTCTTCTGCCTGTGAAGACTTATAAGAATTACTTGGACAGATTAGAAGAAATGTTGACCGAGTTGGAATTAACTGTTAAGAAAAACCGGGAATTTGAACAACTGTACAAAGAATTTGAAGCAGAAAAAGCTTGCTATTTGCCTTTAAATACATTTCTTCTTAAACCAGGACAACGACTGCTGCACTATAAATTAATTCTTGAAAGTAAGTAGTCCTTCCCTTTAAAACACATTTTAAGGTAATCCACTGAACATATGTTTTGATATTATACTTTCCTCTAACCAAACATGTCTTTACAAATAGTTAAAACTAAGAAAATAGAATCTGCCACTAAATAGCATAGTGTATTGTGTATTGCAGTGTAGATGTATTAAAATGCTACTTAGCTCTTGATTTAAGATGTTTCTCTTGTTCCTTGCCAAATGGTGACTCATTGTAATCTATAAATGTTATGAATCAAGCAATCTTTAAATTCAAACAACATAAAGCAGGGAAAAATTGATTCAGAAAATCATGATATAATACTTGTTTTCTAATGGTGATTCATTTTATTGTTTTAGGGTTAATAAAGCATTATAACCAAGATCATCCTGATTATAATGACTGTCAAGGTGAGTAAGAACAAATAAAATATAATTTACTAGTGATCTATTTAAGAATGTGCCATCTTGTAAAATATCGTTTGTAATATTGATAATTTGACACAACTTTCTTTACTCTCTATCTCCTCAGAAGGTAAACAGTTTCATTTCATAATTTATTAATTCACAAGAAATAAATTTGTTGGTATTGAGTATATTTAACACTTAGAAAATGTTTGGAACCAGTTTCCGCTGCAGATTTAAATACTTCATTGGAAATATTTATTTTTAATTGCAAACAGATATCATGAAATTGATGTTTTTAAAAAGAAAATATTAAATTACTAATTGCACCAATTTAATTTTGTGTTCAAAGTAATTATAATTTCCTGTAAAAATATTTGAATGTAATTTTCTCAGCTAAGTTGAATTTTTATCTGATATTTTAAAATTGTTCATCATTATGAAATATGAAGAGGTCTTTAAGATTTTATCACAGTTTAAATATTGATCATTTTCAAGAATCATTCCTCTTTTGTTCTTTGTTTTATTTCAATTTAGAAATTCTAAAATGCATTCAGTTTGAATGAATCTGTGTTACCTTTTCTTTTCAGTTGCTCTGAATAACATTCTTGAGGTAATCAATCAATTCAGGGATAAAATGCAAAAAGTAGTAAGTACCTCACTTTTATTTCTTATAAAACTCATCTCTTTTACACATTAATAATTGGATAATGTTTCTTTTTTTCTTTTACTTATTTGGTGTGACCCACACTTGCAGGATGATTATAGCCTTAAAGAGGCTTGACAGGCATTGTTCATGAACAAACGTCAAAAGACTCAAGTTTATAGTACAGTGTAACCCGGATATAAGAGAGTTGTCGGGACCGGAGAAGAAGTCTCTTATATCCGGGTTTGGTCTATTTTATATACATTAACACAGGCTCTAATTTGGGACCAGAGAAAATCTCTCTTATATCCGGGTTTCTCTTTATACATTAACACAGGCTCTAATTTGGGACCAGAGAAAATCTCTCTTATATCCGGGTTTCTCTTTTATATCATTAACACAGGTTTTTGGGACCAGAGAAAATCTCTTTATATCCGGGTTTCTATTTTATATACATTAACACAGGCTCTAATTTGGGACAAGAGAAAATCTCTCTTATATCCGGGTTTCTCTTATATCCGGGTTTGGTCTATTTTATATACATTAACACAGGCTCTAATTTGGGACCAGAGAAAATCTCTCTTAATATCCGGGTTTGGTCTATTTTATATACATTAACACAGGCTCTAATTTGGGACCAGAGAAAATCACTCTTATATCCGGGTTTCTCTTATATCCGGGTTTGGTCCAGAGAAAATCTCTTATATCCGGGTTTCTCTTATATCCGGGTTTCTCTTATATCCGGGTTTGGTCTATTTTATATACATTAACACAGGCTCTAATTTGGGACCAGAGAAAATCTCTTATATCCGGGTTTCTCTTATATCCGGGTTTGGTCTATTTTATATACATTAACACAGGCTCTAATTTGGGACCAGAGAAAATCTCTCTTATATCCGGGTTTCTCTTATATCCGGGTTTGGTCTATTTTATATACATTAACACAGGCTCTAATTTGGGACCAGAGAAAATCTCTCTTATATCCGGGTTTCTCTTATATCCGGGTTACACTGTATAGTAATGTAAGAGAAAGCTTAGTTGCATTTATACTGAAATAAAATGCATAAAAAATAAAAACGCTAATTAATTTCAATAAGTTAGATAGATTGAGATGTTTTTAAAGAATTGGACCTGATTATTAGCATATTCAATTTTAATTATAAATTACTTCCTTGACCAAAATAAAAAAAAGTATCTCTAAAACATTTCCATTAGATTTGGGCAGGTTTTTTTTTAAGTCAAGATAATTTATAAAATAAAGCTTGGTCAAGCCAAACGGTAGGTTGTGTGTTTTTTTTTTATTTTGTTTTTACTAATGTCCACCTAATATAAAGCCTAAGAGCCACTCAAGGTAGAGGGTTACTAAATTATGTTATATGAGTGTAAGCAATGCAGTTTATGAGATTTATGTCAGAGAGATAACTGTTAACCCTGATTATAGTGGTTGGTAAAACATCTTGTTGGGAGTCTGTTCCACAAAGTAGCAGTTCTTGGAAAGATGCTGTCTGAGTGAAACTTCCTTCTTACTAATGGAATACAAAGGAAATGAAGATGAGTCGTCCCCTGTGTACATGGCATGGTGGGTCTTGGTGCAAAAGTCAAGACTGGTGAAATTAAGGAATATAGCTCATCAGAACATTTGCCATAGAAACAGCAATAGTATAGTGAGAGACTTTGATCTTTTGTAGGATGGAAAATAATTTATTGCCCACAAGATTATATACCCACCTTTTGAACAGGCAAGTGAGTAGTGGGCAGCTCCAACCCAGATATAGTACTTGAGTGGTACAAGGAACCAACTATTTTTTTTTTTTTTTGGAGTTGCAACTATAAACTGTTGTATCATCTGCATAGATATTTATTAAAGGTTTATGTTCTTACATAGATTGCTAATTAAAGCAGAAAGAGGGTAAGACTGAGAAAAGAACCTTTGATCTCATGGGCTTCTACTGATTGGTTGTTAACAATGACCTTCATGACCCTACCTGTTATGAAGGACTTGATAAATGAAAAAACTCTTTGATATATCTAAGGTGATTGTGATTATTTTATTGTCTAATGCGTTACTTACACTGTGAGTAATGACAGGACACCAACAGTGGACCTAGCAGAGTGAAATTCTTAGGTGTTCCTTATCATCTGACGTTGAATTAGAGGCAAAGTTCATTGCTTTGTCTGACGAGGATGAAATTACCTCAAGGCCTTTTATGATAGTAGGCAGTGATTCTTTGCTTCTATTGAGAATTTTATTTGAGATTTTCCAGAACTTAAAGGAACTAAGTTTTTGTTTTCAACCTTGGCTTGGCCTGACTGTACATGGTTGCTCTTTGCATTTTCTAGAACTCTCTTGCAATGATTGTGGGTAGTTTTGAATTACTCAAAAGAGTCTGACTATGCCATTCTGTGATAGAGATGATAATAGTGGTTACTGTGGGCAATGGCTGTAGCACATTCTGGTGCAAACCAAGACTGGTTATTTGGTTTCAGTTGGTATTATTTATGTGGAATAAAACTATCCATGACTAAGAGGATCCATTCAAAAATGAGGGAGGCAGTTCTAGAAGCTCTATTTTTAAAAGAAAACCTCTGCAATGTAAGATCTGACTCTGTCGCAGTCAGTTTGGGCATACCAAAAGATCATCTTATGAAATAGTACATCAGGTGATACTTTTGATTTGGCATCAAATGGTCAGAAGTATCCAAAGGAAGTAATACTTCAGTGAAGCATTTTTCAAAGCAGAATGTGAGAAAGAAGTCTAGGAGGTTTACATGATGATCCATTGTGCCAGGTACATACGTGGGCTTATCAACAATCTGGGTCAGATTGTAAGTAATAGACAAGTCATGATTTATCAATCTTCTTTGAGTGGACTAACCACTTGTTTATCTAAAGATAAAGGTGATTTCATAAAAAGAATTATTTTCAAGACTTGGATTATCAGAACTTGGTCAACTGGCCATATGCTTTCAGAATAAAATGGAGACCTTTGGAAAGCATAATTGAATGGTTGAATATTTGCAAATATATCCTTGGTACAGCGAGCTGATATATATGATTAGTGTAACTATTAGTGGCTTAGAAGGATAAATCGGCAAGTAGAGTTCAATATCTGGTTGAGTCTGTTACATTCATTTTCACACAAATATCCCTGGGAAAAGGATGTGGCCATCTCCCTCTCCAGTTATAGGTTAAATAGCAGGACAGAGTGGGCTCTCTCTCACTTTAAGTAACAGCTTATCTAGGGGAGTGACAACTCTGAAATCAAAACTTCAGGTGGGGTGTTTGGAGACTTTGTGTTATGCTGCGCACCATTTCTCTATATTCAGTTCTTTTGGAAAATGTAGTTGATTCTGCACACACCTTCACCACTATGATCAAACCATTTGTAGGTAGTATGATGGTAGAGTACTAAGAACATACATACGTGTGTGTGTGTGTGATATATATATATATATATATATATATATATATATATATATATATATATGTATGTATATATATATGTGTGTGTGTGTGTGTGTGATTGAGCAATCCCAGAGAGACTAACAGAAACAAGACATAGGCAGAATAGAACATTCATAAAAACATTTTGACTGTTCTTTACATATTTCAAAAGTCTCAGTTGATAAATTGTCATTAATATTTTTTTTGCTTTTTTAATAACTTTCTTTATACTTTGATTTTAATATTTTACACACTTTGATCTTCTGTGGTATTGTCCTTATTGAAGGCACACTATTATTTTTCCTATTGGCACCCAGAATGGATTTAAATCATTTGAAACATTTTTACACAGCAAAATCAATTTATGATGTAAGTTAATCTCTCAAAAATAGACAATCACTGAATATTAAATGGTTGTTGGAATTTAAAAGTGCTTTTTGTTTTAAAAAAAAGAATTGAGAAAAGGGTTTTGATCTGTTGGGAAGAATATTTGCTTTCTCACACGCACACACAGTACAAAATTCACATGCATAAACCCATTTCAGTTAACAATCCCAAGCATCCTCAGATGGAACAAGTAAAACCAGGACTTTATAAATTTTAAGAATTTCTCGTTTAATCCAAACTATCTTATTTTAGAAATAAAAATGAATGCACCATTTCTTTCTCTCTATTCCAATGTTTCCCCTCTCATTACAAACACATAAGTGATATTGCTTTATTGTTCTGTTAAATTTTGTTTATACTTTTGAAAATGATATTCCTGTTTATATTATTTATTAACAAAAAGCATTTTTTTCTTTCCAGGATAATCTTCAAAAACTGATAGAACTTCAAAGAGATCTTGTTGGTATTGACAGTCTTGTACATCCTGACCGAGTGAGTATGACTACATTGATTATTGCTTTGTACATCTTTTTCAATAGTAACATACAAAAACAATGTTAAATATTCTGTTCACATCATCATCATCATCATCATCATCAGTTGCTTTTTATTCCCCTCTCAGCAGAAAGAAGAATCTTGTTTATTCTCATTGTCTTTTGTTTTAAAACCTTTTTGGTGTCACAAAAGCTGATATTTTAAACATCTACAACTTTAGTATCAGAGGAAGGGGAGGGGATAAAATGTTACTGTTAAGTGTGTCTTTGAGAATTGTTATTTCATTAGAAATTTAATGTGACATTATGAATTGACAAAATTATTCAGATATTTTATCTTTTTTTTTAATCTGCATTGCTTTCATTTTAGCCATTGATTTTCATTTCTAATTCTATTAATATTTTTAACATTTCATTTTAATACACTTGACATTTTTTCCACTTTAGGAATTCATAAGAGAAGGTTGTCTTCAGAAATTTTCTCGGAAAGGTTACCAACAAAGAATGTTTTTCCTGGTGAGTTCATTTGACATTTTATCATTATCAACAAAAACTGATTATATCTTATTATTTTTCAGAATTGGCAGAAATAAATTCTGGTAACTTTTTTTTCCTTTTAGTTTTCAGACATGCTCATCTATACAAGTCGAACAGCAACGTCACTTTTGCAGTTCAAAGTTCATGGACAGCTGCCGTTACGTGGGATGATGGTAAGTCTTTTACTTTTATATCTGTTTTCCCATTATTTGTTGTTTATGTATTATTAGACACAGACATTAATAAAAACGTGGTGGAGTATTTCACATTGTAAACCCAGCACAAACTGTTTTATTTTTTTGTCAATTATTTTAATGGTGAGAAGTGGTTGAATTTCTGAGGAACAAGTTTAAGCCAAGTGACATATTCAAATTCTTGTTTCTTCCATAAAAGGTGTCAATATTAGCCATGATCTTGCCAATAACAAACTTTATTCTTTCTCAGGCCACAATTATCTTTTTATCAGTTCATAAAAGTTAGTTCTGTGAAAAAAAGAAAAATATACTTCATCAGTCCCATACAATTAGCATGTCTGAAATTCATCTTGTATTCATCTCTATTAAAATGTGTTTTCATGACAGAACAATAGTGTATTGTAAGTTTGATTTTTATTGTGGCCTTGTGACAAGCTTAGTAAATGTCTATAAATTTCCACTGATATTTCTGTAAAGTTGTCTAAATCTCAAATTTTTTCTGTGGGAATTGTAGATATGTCTCATGGACATGTTTATGAGAACCAACTAGAAGAAATGTTCCTAAGAAATTTCTCTCTTTGCAAAAGGAATGATTGACATGAAATAAAGTTCAGTTCAGTGTTCCTCTGATGACAAATATTTTCTAAAATGAAACTCATTTTATTTCATTTACAATGTCTAAAAGATTCTGAACTCATTAATACAACTTAACGAGAGTTGACCGAATTGGATCCCCCTAAAAATACATGAGAGAATATATTTTCTAAACATGTCCTTGTTCTCACTCAAGAGATTTTGAAAATATAGACATTAAGATTTAAAAGACTTTTTCAATCCATCTTTTCTCTTTAATCTTTATTTTATTCTTCAATTGGCTCATATTAGATTGATTCTTTTTTTTTCCAGGTAGAGGAATCCGACATCTCTAAAGTGGCTGTTGCCAATAGCTTCACAATATATGGTGGGAACAAATGCATTCTTGTAGCTGCCAGGTTGGTTAAGCTCCAATGTAAACAAAGCATAAAGAAAACAAAAATCAAAACATAAAACCATTTTTTAAATTTGAAATATTTAGTGTTAACTTTCTCCTTCAATTAAATGATTATAAATTCAGTTTAAGTTATAATTGTATTTGTCTGTAAAAAAAAAAAATTAAACTGAGAGAAAAGAAATTAATTTGGTATTTGTAAAGCTTATAATATTTGCCAACCATTAATATTCATTATTATTTTGGCTTTCATAGTTTTATAATAAAATTTTTTATTTCTTTTTTCAAATTAAGGGGCTTTTTGTCTGCAGTTATTCTGATAATAAACGTGATTCAAATTAAGGGGCTTCTTTTTGCCCTTAAGAACAAAAAACAGTCTTCAGTAATATATTTCTTACTGTTAGAGTTTGGTTCCATTATGTGTAATTGCTTGTTTGTTAACCTCTATTTTAAGTAAATTTTTTTTTATCATTATTGGATGTCAAATAGGTCATTTAAAATAGAATCAATTGCAATTGCATTCTGATTTCAGTTCAGAGGAAGAAAAAGATAAGTGGATTGAAGATCTGAGTTATTCTATTTGTATGGCAAAGAAACAAAATGATGAGAAAATGAAATATGGCAGCATTCGATCTAACACAAGTAAGTGTAGTGTGTGTGTGTGTGTATATATATATATATATATATATATATATATATATATATATATATATATATAATGCTATTAAAAAGATCATTTCAAAATCAACCTCTCATTACTGATTTCATTTGGGAAAAGTTTTTGTTTTTAGTGATTACACATATCAAAGAGTCTTCATTTTATGTTCAATGTTACTAAAGAAATGAGATGATTAAATAATTAATTCAAACAGGACAGGGGTGTTCATTAAATAACAGTTTAACAAACAAAAAAAACTTTTCTTTTAAAATACATAAAATGGGAGCATGGATAATGTGTAATTTTAATGTTCTTCATAGAGCTTTTCAAAATCTTTAAAACATTTCAGTTATTAAATTTCTCGATATCTTCCTTTTGTAGGTTCAACTGAAAATGTATCTACAACTGGATCTTCTGATACTGATAAACTAGGTACATCTCCCCCGAGTCCTGAGAAACAAATTCAGCATCGGGGCAACACTACTATGCATGTGTGCTGGCACCGCAACACGAGTGTCAGCCTGAGAGACCACGACAAGGCTGTCAAGGTAAGACTACAATCTCTTCAAAAATCGACTTTGTTTTTTTTTTGTTTTTTTTTTTTTTTACACTTAATTAAGGTGCAATAGTTTCTTCAAAATCACACTTGTTCCTTGCATTAATAAAAATGTTTCTTTTTTTAAATGTCTTGAAAAGTTTCCAGCAATATTAAGTGAGAAAAAATTTACCTTCATTATTAAGTGACAAAATATATGAAAAAATCTTATTAGGGTACAAAATTTAATACAGTAATAAAAACGGAAATAAGTCAAGAACAGAAAAATTACAACTACCGTAGCTGGTATGAAAATAGAAACACACCCAAAAAGAAAAACAGGACGCTAACCACCACTCCCCCAAGTGGAATAATGCATCTCATCTAGTCTAATTTTTCATAAGAGGATTACATTAAGTCCACATAAACCCTTCTTATGTTAACACAGAGATGGTTGTTTTGATTTAATAAAGATGGTTTCCTGGTCATTAGAATGCAATCTGCACACAACGAAAAATATGTTCATGCAGAAGGATGCAATGCAAATTCTATTTTCAGTTTGTTGATATTGTAATTTCAGGGAAAGAAAATTGTTGTTGTGTACTATTCAGACATGATAAAGACCACAAAAGCTAGAATTTACTTAAGAGAGCATAAATGCTCGTTTGTTTATTATTAGGTAACACAAAAAGATGCTCCTTAGGAGTAAAGGACAGATAATCTGACACATTAGGTTACTCAAGACAAAAGACGCAACTCCCTTTCTCTGCAAACCTGGGTGGAAGCTTCAAAAGTTGGTCTGTATGTCTCCTCACCAACCTGCCTCCACTTCAAAATTCACTGCTCCCAACTGTCTGGTAATGGTGCCTTCCATTCACCGTCGATCAGATCCAAAATTCCATACCAGAACCGGATCGTCAACTTTGAATTCTCAAAGGATGGTCAGGACTTTAGTTCCCCATTCGATTTTGCATTTGTAACGTAGAACATGATAAGCGTCAGGCTTCATTAAATAAAATGTTAAATGTTAATCACTGCTTGAACATCAATTCGGCTAGAGGAACCTGAGTTGTTGTGTGGGGAGTTATTCTAAAGATTGAACAAGAATCTCCTTAGCTTGGTCTCATGTGTTGTCTTCCTGTCTGCCTCCATCTTTTTCAGTGCTTTCCTGAATGTGTGCACACTGCACCCCACCTGCCAATTTGAGGACAGGTGATAGGGAGTCGTGAAAATATGTTGACTTGACCATTGACTTTCATGAACATTTTAAAGTCTTGACTAGTAAAGCATGGACTATTATCACTCACCACTAACACAGGCAGCCCATGTGTTGCAAAAATTCCTCTCACCTTCTCAATTGTGGCTGGAGCAATAGATGTTTTCATTACACATACCTCTGTCCATTTTGAGTAAGCATCCACAACAATCAAAAACATGTGTCCCAAATATGGACCACATAATCTATGTGGATTCTCTCTCAAGGCTGACTTGGATATTCCCATCAATGAATGGGAGCTTTACTAGGGTTATTTTGATTGAACATGCAGGTCCTAAAAAAAGAGCCCAACATTGAATCCTGGCAGCAAGAGGGGGAATGGGTTTGTATTCTGTGAAAAGTCTCAACAATGGCTTGTGGTCAGTTAAAATTATGAAGCAATTCCCATACAAATACTGGTGCTACTTTTTCATGTCAAAAGCCAGGACCAACCCTTACTTTTCAATATGAGCATAATTCCGTTTGGCATCAGATAGTGTTTGTGAAATGTAGCATATCAGCTTCTCACTCCCATCTTCCATTGTGTGAGCTTACACTTATATTACAGCTTTCAGTCTATAGGGGAGAAGTGTCCATTTGTACCAGAATGGGCTTGGATGGGTTGAAATGAGTTAGAAGAGGGTGCAGAACACAGCATTTTCTTTGTTTCTTCAAAAGCTCTCCACTGACTGGCACCCCATCTCCAAGCAGTACCTTTCCACTAATTAAACTATGAAGCGGTTCCAGTATGCTTAACAAATTGGGTAAATGACTTCTCTGGAAGAAGAGCTGTGCCCTCTTTGTTGATTTTGAAACCAAGATATGTTACCTCCAGGAGAAGGAATTTGCACTTATTCCTCTTCAATTTTAGTCCTGCCTTATCCAGTGCAGCAAATATATTCTGTAGGTTCTTAGATGACTAACATCATCATGACCCGAAATCAGGATATCATCCACACGTACCTCTCAGAAAGGAATATCCTTATCCATCTCTCATTGAAAAATTCCGGTTGTACCATACACCCCAAATTGTAATCTGTAATGTGTGTTTACTGTCAACAATTCCTGTGTTTCCTCATCCAGCATAGGCATGGCTTAAGTCTAGCTTGCTAAACTTTTGGCTACCTGTTAGTGTATCTTCCTGGTAGATTCCATAGACACTGCTATTTCAATAACCTTTTCCAATGATAGTGTTATTTCACCAAGGAGATGCTCTTGAATCTGCTCGTTCTTCACTCCTACAACCAAACAATATGATATATGCTTGTCTAATTTTTCTTCAAAGTTTCAGTGCTCTGACATTTATTGTAATGCAGCTACATATTCACTTATGGATTCACCTAAATTTTGAGATACAAGTGAGTTTCAGTTAAGCATCTGCTAGTTGGCCCATCAAGCACCAAGCTTCAAGAGTATTTCCACTTACAGTACATGTATTCACCTTCCTCTGGAAAGGTCTTTTTTTTTTTTTTTTTTTTTTTTTCCAAAATTCCTTTAGTAACACCATGGGTCCAAAGAAAGTAAGTGTAAAGTGAATTTTCAGACACCAGGAATAGATTGGTAATATTCCCATTAATTTCAATGAGGAAAATTGATTTGAGATACAAGTGTTTTGAGTTACAAACTTGGTCATGGAACAAATTGAACTCTTATCTCAAGACATTACTGCACCATGAAAAGATGCTCCCTAAGGGTAAAGGGCAGATAACCCAACACGTTGGGCCACTTGAGACAAATGGATGCAACTCCAATTCTCGGTTCAATATATAACAGTTACAGCTGAATAAAAAAAACAAAAAAAACTTAAACTAGTCAATATGCTGGACCAAGTGAAGATACTTCATTGAAGTGCAATGATTTGGAATTGCAATGTAAAAATCAAAATATCAACTCATGTCACCAGCGTTAATGATGTGCATATAAATATTTTGCCTTTTTTAAATTTTACTTTGAACACAAATATTATGATTTATTGGTTGTGATAGAAAGATAAGACATTGGAGGCAAAAGATGCTCTGTTTGGCTGAAGATTACTGGAGTATTGGTAATTGTAGCTTTTATGTGGGTACTTATCAGTAAGTGAGGTGTGAATTTGTTATATCTCCATATTGTAAGAAAAAAAGAAAAAATTCAGACTCTTAAGGAGTTAAGAGAATCTACCTGTAACAAAGCCACTCACAAAACATCCTTTTAAGATAGGGTTGTGTTTAATTTTATTTTAAATTATTTTAATTTAAAATTGTGGAGCTTCCCTAATTACCATGGAATATAGAAAATATAACCAAAATATTTGAATTTGTTTCCATCTGAATTACAGCCCATCATTAATTGAGATGTGGGCATTTAAGAAAAAAAAATTTTTTTTTTTAATTTAATGACCGTCTAAGACTTGAAATATATAAAACATTTTTATAATAACTTACACATGAAAATATATACTGGTCTTATATTTTTTTTGTTATGACTTGTGTTTACAGTTAATTTTTTTTTTTTTTTCCAGAATCAACTAAGTGGATATCTTCTGAGAAAATTTAAAACCAGCAATGGGTGGCAAAAATTATGGGTTGTTTTTACAAATTTCTGCTTGTTTTTCTACAAAACCTACCAAGTAAGCACATCAATGATTCACATTTCCTTTGTATTTTTTTAAGCTTTAGAACAAGAGTTGTTGTTCAATTATAATAATGTGCTTAAAAATAGTTTATTAAACTTTTGACTCAATGTCATATTCTGCATGTAAAATGCTTAATACAAAAATATATTGTTAAAATGGTAAAATAACCTATTTTATACTAAGTTTTTCCTTGAAATTTATTGATTATGAATTTGTTTCTAAATGTGAAATAACAAATTGTAAAGTGATTGCATTGAATATAAATTCTGTTTGACGATTTGTAATTGTTATTTTATAATAACTTGATTGAGCCTTATGCAACATATGCTCATAGGAAGGTGCAGAAAAGTTCTCTAGCCACTAACTGACATTTTAAAATCTGATCATATATCAGAAATATTTTTATATTTTTGGTCGAGTGATTGAGAAGTCTTGAATTTGTTCGTCTTGATCTCCTCATCTGAATCCATTTGAAGATACGTTGTCTTCATGAACAATGTTCAGACATCGATGTTTTGAAAATTGTCTCAATCTCAATTATTTCCCTTAGTCATTTTGCTAATTTACAGTTGTTTCCCTTGAACAGCTTCATAAAAAAAAATTGATACAGCCTTTTCATGTTGACTGCAAATTCAGCAACAGTCATTGACTTAAATATATCGATTTTCTCGGTGATGTTTTATTTCATTCGAATTCGATCTCATTCAGAAACTGACCTGACACTAAAATCTCTTTCAGGATGAATTTCCTTTAGCTAGCCTCCCCCTCTTGGGTTATGCAGTTAATATCCCAACAGAAGAAGACAAGATCACCAAAGATCATGTCTTTAAGCTCCAGTTCAAGAATCATGTCTATTTTTTCCGAGCAGAAAGTGAATATACATTCGAAAGGTAAGAAAACATTTTTGATTTTAAATTCTTCAGAATAGAATTATTATTGTTATGGATATTTTGGGTTTTAATCATATCCCCTAATAGTTTTGGATGTGGTTGTAATTATTTTAATATTAAGATTGGATAAATTGCTTTGGATAGTAGATGTTACAGAGTAGGTAGTATTATGTCTGTTTTTATCTAGTTTATTATCATTGTTATTAAGGTCTTTTTTGTAATTGTATATTTTTTATGCCTTTCATGTAGCATTGTGGATGAAATAATGAGGATATTGGAGCTTTTTGAAAAAAAATGTTCTATGTATATTTCTTCTTCAGGTAAGTATTGGGGTCTGCAGATTCTTAGTGCTCTGAAATAGAATCCTATAATCATTCCAGATTTTATCTTATTACAGTGGTAGGAATAGAAATTGATAAGGACATTCTTGTTGATAGATTTTTTGTAAAACTCCAACTGAATTTCATTATTATTTCTATGCAGCATGATATCAAGGAAGGATAAAGTGTTGTTAGACTCAGAGTTCAACATTAAGTTAGTTTTACCCAGTCTCGTCAACACTGTCTTGTGGATATATTAATAGAGAATCATATATGTATCTAAAATAAGAATTTTGTACTAAAATATTTTTGAAAGGACCACTTCCTAAGGTAATACATAAATTGTAATTAGCACTCTTCAGTTAATATACAACTCAAAAACTAATAGGGAAAAGCAAATTTTTAAGGTTTGAAAACAACCAAAATACAAAATGACATTTTATCATTTTTTATTTATTTATTTATTTTTTTTTTTTTTTTTTTTTTTTTGTATGAAAAACACATTTGTACTTTTTTTTTTTTATGGAAAAGACATAGCTTTTCTATTTCTAGTCCCTTCCTGGTTTTCTTTGTTTATGAACTCACATGATTTTAAATGAATCCAATTTCTTCTTCTCTTTCCAGATGGATTGAAGTAATCAAAAGTGCCACCAGCAGCGCCCGCAGATTTCGCCTATTTAGTCGTCTGGAGAGTGAACACGCTGAGAGATCGTGAAGTGTTTCCTGAACTGGGGCTGCCCAGTTACTTCATCCCTCAGAAATGGGCAACAGATTATCCAGTCAGTCAGTCAGCCCCTCCCGGTGGGTGGGAGGATGGGTGGTGGGATAATGGTTTTCCTTGCTTCTACTCTCAGTTCCTTCTCTTCAGCTAAAACACAAACCTAGCAACTCTGGAGGTAGGACTAGGAAGCAAAGGTCTTACCAACTACAACTGTAATCATGTTGATGATGATGATGGTGATGGTGGTGGTAATGATGATATGTGAATAATAATAATAATAATAATAATAATAAACATCAGCTACCAATGAGAGAGGATGTTGATAAAAACTGACAAGCGTTTGCTAATTGACTTTTTAAATAAGAAAGCAGAATTCAAAGAGAAAAAGAACAACAGACTTGTTTGTCTCTTCCCTATTGTCTGTATACTTTGTAAGAAACAAAATTTCTCTCTCTCTCTCATTTGCTCATTCTCTCTCTCTCTCAATCAGTTTGTTTCAATACTGCAACAACTGATGACAATTGTGCTCATGCCTTTTTCATCCTGTAGTGGAAAAATGATTTTTAAAAATCACAAAAATGCCCTCATGACTTAAGCATACAAAACAAAAACAACTTAAAACATCAATTGTAACAAAGAGAACTTTTTTTTTTAACTGACTTTCAGTTATTATAATAATAATAATAATAATATTACATTTATTACAAATACATTTGTTTTTTGTTTTGTTTTCTTTGCTCTTTTTAATTGCATTTTTTTTTCTTTATTTTAATTATTTTCAAGTTGAAATTTTGTTTTTTGCTTCTTTTTTTTGTTTCGTTTTTTTTTTCGTTTTTGCATATTCTGTTTGTGTCATCAGAAAAATGCATTTGAGATGTTATGTTTTGATAGATAAACCAAACTGCATTTATCAAAAGTATTTCTCAATGTTCAATGTAACTGCATTATCTTTTTTATAATCATTGATTCAAATTGGATGAGACAACACAATGGGAAAGATCTCAATAGAAATATTGATAGAAAAATCACTGAAAGAATTTAATTTTTCTTCTCTGGTTAATCTTTATATTTAAATTGGATTTTGGTTTGATAATTTTATGACAAGTAAAAAATACACACACACACACACACACACACACACACACACACACACATATATATATGTATGTGTGTGTGATGCCCTTCAAGACATAGGTGATCATGACTCTCCACAGATTTCTCTTTGTTATTATCTGTGATTACCATCTGTTCTTGGGAAAGATAGTAGAGTGGTTTCTGGTTGCCTTCTCCATGGTTTGGAATTCTGAGTTTTCCTTCTCTTAGACTGGCTGCCATCCAAGGCTAGAGAATGCAGCATCACTTGCTATTTAACCCATATCTAGAGGAGAAGAGATGGAATTATGTCTTTCACAAGGGCATAAGTGTGAAAATGAATGCAACAGACAAGCCCAGAATTTGAACTGAAACGATTGACCCAAATTGTTTCTTCTGCCTTTCAACCCTTGTTTTGTTTGAGTGAAAAATTTTATCAACTTTCTCAGCATAAGTAGTCGCAGTATTGACATTGAGAGTTTTAGTTCTTTATTAGTTGCACCTTTAAAAAAAAAAATGGCATGGGAGGGGACTCAGTGCTTTGACCAATGCTACTACCATCATCACCACAAAATGAACATATGTTTCTTTTAATTTACATTAAACATTTTTGTTGGTTAATACAATTGATTTTTCTCTTTCTTTTAACAAAAACTCTTAATTACAATTATTAATCCTCGCCCTAATTACAATTATTTCTGAAAAAGCAATTTTAGCTTGTCTGGGGAGGGGACTGATGCACACAATAGAAATTACAAAAACTGTAATAAGTAAAATGCAATTTGTTCTTTTATACAATCCCAATTGATATGTTCTGGTAAAAATAATGTTTTTAACAATTCAAACCACGGTGATAAACCTGTATACTTTTATTTCTATTTCTTTTTCTTTTTTATTCTGGCTCATGCAGGTGTTTGTTACCACCATTCATTAATTTTTTTTATTTAAAATATACACTTTGACATCTTTTCTTGATGTTGATCCTCTAAGTTTAGGGAACCAGAAATGAAAAGCCTCTTAACATTAAAAAAAAAAAAAAGGAAAGAAAAACAATTTTACTTAACATTTTGTATACAATTGTTTAGAATCTAATCTAAGTGGTAATTTCTAAAGTGCAATAAGGTAAATAATGAAACAAAATCGAGTTTGAATTGACTTATGCTTAAAAGCAGAACTTTTGATTACATTGAGTGACACAAAGAAAAGTAAGTTTTGTTTTTTTGGGCCTTCGTATTCTATTGTGATTCACACGCAAAAAAATTATTTGCCAAAAATTTGGCTTTCTTTAACAGGTCAAGTAATACAATTCAAGTTGTCCTGACCACAATATGAAACATCCACAAACTACAGTATAAAAATAACCTGGTCAAAAATTTACTTGAGGTAATACCAGGGACAATAACTTAGTGGATTAAGACATTGGTTCGAGAATTCAATCCTGTGGCTGAGTAGAACAGACTCGGTGGAAACAGGGCGAGCAATAACTGAGCAGTACTAAAAAGTGAACAAGACGAGTTATCTCCCCTAGACACGGACAGCATAACAAGAACAATCTTCTTCTGTAGATTTGATAAAGGGTTTAGTTCAAAATTCCCTTAAGTTTACCCAGATTGACAGACACCTGAGAAAAGCCAGAGAGCACAACAAAGATGAGGATATCAGTCCGAATGTAAATAATGTAAATAGCAATGCCATGTGTTTCAGTTATAGAAATCACTGCTCAGTCTTCCATTGATTGCCTTAATGTTAGTCGTGCTCAGACTCTCACAGCAGTAAGTAGGGAGGTACAATAACATTTCATTGTAAAATAAAAATGTATATTTAGATTGTAAGGAGAGAATTTACATTAGTTTCCCAAAATTTCTTTTATTATTATTAGTATAGTCATTGGTACTTGAAATTGTTTCTTTAAACCAAGACATTTATTGAGCATCTCCATAGAAATATCACAAATTCAGATGTAAATGAATTTTTTTTTTCTTTAATAGATTTGATAACACATTCTTTCTCATTAATTTTCTCAGAAAAGTCATTTTATAAAAAAAATGATTTTCCTTAATGACATTTTTATAATAAATGTGTGTCTGCTTTATACGCGCACACACAAACACACACATGTTGTTAAATCCTTAACCCAACCCCTACTTGACAAAATCAATATTCTGATATCTAGTCACAGAAATACAGATTTAGAGAAGTGAATCAGTTATAGCACTTCTCAGCCCCTCCCCTCCTTTGTATGTGTGTGTGTGTGTGTGTGTGTGTGTGTATATATATATATATATATATATATAAAGTGATAGAAATTATTAGGAGGATTTGAGATAAGTAATTTATCCAGTCTAGAAGAAACCTCAACAGAGACATTGAGGTTTCTTCTAAACTTGATGAATTACTTATGAATATATATAAAATAATGGCCAGCTACTTGTTTCCAAGTACACCTGTTTGCAAGGGTGGCTAGCCCAATCCCTGTTGCAGATGCCCCCACCTGTGGTTTATACTGCAACTATGCCAAGCAGATCTCGTTTACAGTTTCTTAGAGAGGGCACATGGTCTGTCATGATTTGCAGTTTGAACAAGACCAATACATTCAAACCCTCAGTCACAATGACTTGTGATTTTGTGCTAACACAACCATTGACAACTTCCAAACAGTTCCATTTACTCAATTTCACTTACAAGGCTTTGAGTCAACCAGTAGGGGTTAGGGTTTTCAGACACTTCCCAATGGTGGCTCACACTGTGATCACCTTCCCAAATCCATAACTTCAGGAAGTTTGACCATGGTGAGATACAAACCTGGATCTTATGGTCAGATATTGAACGTATTAACTACTCAGCCGCCTGCACATACATACATACATACATTTTATATATATATATATATATATATATATATATATATACACACACACACACACTTTTAAAATCTTGGCCAACTTGGTATTGAGATGGAAATGTTAAGAATCTGCCAATTTAAACAACTTGGTTCATATTTTTTTTTTTTTTTACATTATGAAATATTAATCTCCTGAGAAAATAGATCTTCAGGAATCTAAATCATCTATTTATCTCATCAAATTTTGCTTGCTTTTATTTTTAGAACCAATTAAAAGAAATAATAAGCAATATTAATGAGACAAATTCAGAAAAATTTTAATGAATCTTACATTTTAAATTCGGTTTACATTTTAGCATTTAAATTTTATTCATTTGGGTCAAAAATGTTTTACACATTACTAATTTTTAATAGATTTTCATTGAATAATTTAACAAATTGTGTAAATTTTGCACTGATTTTACATACGAAATATCTAAGGATGTTTTCTTATACATGTCACTCACTCAAAGGCTGAAAAATGCACATTTTCAAATCTATGCATCCCAATATAAGAGCATGAAATAAAAAAATTTCAATGGAAACATGCAACACTTTTAAGTTGGCTGTGTAACACCAGCCATCAACTGAAAGAATTTGTTTTTAAAAATGCTTCCAGAAAGACAAATGTCTCCCAATACAAAGCAAACCAATCACTGTTAATCAACAAAATATGTACATTTTTGTTTTAATTTTTAACTTTATAATCTATGATAAAAAAAGAAATGTGCTTCTGTAAGATTTTTCTGTCAGAGAAAATATAAACTTCATCAGATATGCTTTTTTTTTTTGAAAAGTGTGATGTATCTTTTAAGTCAACTATCATTTATGTATTAAGACTAACATGAAAAAAATCTATTTTTTCTTAAATGGTTCAAGTAGTTTTTCATAAATCACACCAAAAAATATCAGTCAATGCAATAGTTTCTTCTTTATAACCATTTGTTTTGATGGAGACAAGAGAAATTAATTTCAGCAGAAGTGGATGTAAATTCAATTGAAAACGTTATCTCTGTCTAGA